AACTAATTTTTGTCTTTAATATTTAGCAACTACATAGTTTTACCTCAAATTCACATTTGTTATCATCTGTTATATTGATGCGTGACATAGAATTACATTACACCATAGGCTGAGCAAATATTTGTAGAGGGAAAAGAAAAAAAATGACATTCTTACGCTTTTATAGTATCGGATTACCTGCTGTATTACGTCATGATCCCGTGCCTCACGGAATGTGATATGAGAGTAGTTGAAACTAGAGTTCTGTCCCTGTATGTCAGGCACTTAGATTCATGAGCCTATCCTTTTTATTTGTATACACAAATGCTTTTATTTGTAATTATAGACCTTTTCAGTGTTTTAATATCAGGTATGTTCATACTACAATTTTGACTCTTAATACATGTAGATAGGCTTGATATTTTACTTTTATATTATGTTTATATCAATAAATAATTTATATTAAGAGAAAAATGCGGGATCGGGACTGCGACATTAAAATTGCGGGATCGAAAACCCCCCTATTGTGGACCCTCACGATAGGAGGGAGAGCCTACGTAGCACTCAGTTGATGTAATATATTCATAAAGATATAATACAAAACACATAATACAATAGAACGAGAAACAATGGAATACAATACATTTTATGAATACGAAAAGTATTACAAGAAGATTTATCATTTATCATTCCTTGAGGAGAATCGCCGAAGCGCTTTATATAAAAGAACAAAAACCATCCTTGAATGAACAGGGACAGTCAATTCCCTTAAGTCTTTTGAACTAATAGTTATTCATGTAAGTTCAGTTTGCAGTCGATGGCCTTTGGATAAAGGCCGAAATATTCATGTAGTAAAATGATAAATCTTCTTGTAATCCTTTTCGTATTCAAACTATATGCCCAAAAGAATATAATTTTATGAACATTACATCAACTGCGTGCTACGTAGGTCTCCCCTTCACACGATACCTGGGGCACACATYGATCCATCACGTGACCAGTGTTTCATACCTCGTCTCGATCCATTAGAATTTTGATGATGGGGGGGTTGAAGACTTTGAAAAAAATCCTGCACGGTCCGAAGGGCCGAATGAAAATCCAGCAAGGCAAAATTTGAAAAAAACTGCACTAAAGCTTTTGTAAATTTACTAAAAAAAATGACAACGCGCGCCTGAAGTCCTAAAAAAAAATTCTTGCATGGACAAAATCTTCCACTCACCGCCCCGCCCCCCTGGTAAAAATTAACAGTTAACCCCATTCAGACCCTGATATAAAACATGTGCAAACAGAGGAATATCAGCTAACAGTTATCTTTGTTAATATCAGTTATCAGCTAAATAAACCCGAAATTCTCAGTTAACAGTTATTATTTTATCCGTTTCTCAGTTTTAACTGTTAAAACAGTTAACCTCAATTCAGACCCTGTATTCAGTCTCTGTCTTTAAAATAAGTACTGGTTCTCATGAAGCCTCAGCCAGAATCCCACAAAGAAGACTCTACTGATGCTGAATCCCACGAAACTTTGTTGAATTAATCAGCAAACAAATTAACTATGTTTGCAAAAAAATGTTTTTACATTCCCATACAAGGAATTTAAGATCTCCAAACGTTAAAGACATCGACAAACAAAGTTGGATAATGTGTTTGGTAATCAATTATTTTTCTTTTGACCTTGAACGTTAAGCATTATTTATTTTTAGTCAGGTGCTCTGATCATTGGAAACCCCATAACTGGATATGTCAGTCGTAATGGTCGTACAGTGACATTCTCCCCGTTACCCGGTGCCGAAGATGAAGCCATACAGATTAGTAATATTCTTGGTGTTCAGCCATTGATAGGTAGCCAAGCAACAAAAGAAACAGTCCTAAGAAGACTTCAACAAGGTGTGTCAATTATCCATTTTGCTGCACATGGTAGTAAGGAAAATGGACAGATTGCTCTTGCTCCTTCTAAACCTACGACCTACTCGAGTCCAGCAGAGGAGAAGGACTGCATTTTGACCATGAAAGAAGTACAAGAGAGTGGAATTCGTGCTCAACTGGTTGTCCTCAGCTGTTGCTACAGTGGTCGAGGAGACGTAAGGTCTGAAGGAGTTGTTGGAATGACTCGAGCCTTTCTTGCTGCAGGAGCTCGTGCCGTTGTAGCGTCATTGTGGGCCATTGATGACACAGCAACAAATTTTTTCATGCTGAAATTCTATTCCCATCTTAAGAATGGAGACAGTGCAAGTAAGAGTCTGCAGCAGGCAATGAAGGACATGAGAGAGATATACGAGGAACCAATGTACTGGGCTGGATTCTTTCTGATTGGAGACGATGTCACCATCACAGTGTGATTGAACATTAATTAGAT